GAATATAAAAACAGGTCAGCTACTAAAGAAGCACAATTAGTGCCCGTCGTTGTTTGATGACCTGGTCTTCAAAGACAACAAAGACGTTGTCAATGAGGAACACCAGCATCTTTTAATACCAACCTCAGAGTACTTAAGTGTAACATTAGAGTGATTTACAATGTAATATTGTAGATGACTAATCAAAAACTTTCCGGGTACCATTTTTTATGAAGAAGCAGTTGTTTATGATATCTTAAAGCCTGACAATGCATCTTTATAAGGAAATTTTATGAATTAAGGAATCCAGGAAAGGTAGGGTAGATATCACTCACTTAAGTTGACTGGAATGTTAAAAGTCTTAAAGACTGAAATATAATCTGAAGAATTTTATCCTTAGAAAGTGAACTATGAGTATAAGTTGCAGATCTAGATGTAAAAACCATGTTCTTCTAAAATACAGTTGTACTAATGGGCCTTGCAAACAGAGACGATATTGTTAAAAGCCTTGTCTGTTAGAACTATAACATATTCTTCATGTAGTCTTTCTAGTTCTTTAATCACTTCCGATTTAGTGAAAAAGAAAGGATATATGGTTCTCATATTGTCTTTTAACTTTCTGACACGATTCTTTCATATTATATTTCCAAAAGATGTAATCCAGTCTGACAAAGTGTTCAGGTCTTCTACCTCATATTTCGTCCATCGCCTCTGGCATAATCCTCGACAGAATTCATAATAGAAATGAATTTCTGTCGCCAATTTAAAGACTTGTATTTAGGATCTATTAAAAATGCTTTTAGGTCGTCATTTTCAACTATATTTACATCACCAGTAATGAAAGGTGTCTCCGTTATATGAGCGAAAAATTCTCAAGAAGGACTGAAACAATAAAGAAACCAGAAATATCGTGTCCAGCGCGACTTTAGTTGAAAGAAGAGAGAGAGCAAAAACACTTTAGAGGATTTTGTATTATGCGGTCGATATCAAGGCACTGTAAAGTTTTTTCTGATTGAAAAGTTTGGAATCATCTGTTGGAAATGCAGGGTGTAGACTTTAACTTTAAATGTGATGGAATGCAAGGCTTAACATTTTTATGATTAAGAATATTACTGATATTCAAGCATCTATCCCTTTGTTGGGAAATTTAGGTTTAAGGAACTGGCGGGTTGAATCGGAATTATTATCTCCCAACTCTCGCGGTGGTTAAAAAAGCCTGTGCTGAGCAATTCCCATAATCGCAAACACTAGCTAGTATTCTGCAGGTGAAGAATTCAAGTATAAACTTGCTTAAGCTTCTTCGCATACTAATCATTCAAAGATTTCAAGGGTAGCGAGTAAATTTTTGTGCGAATTTGATGAAGACTTAATTGAATTTATAGTTCAAATTATTGACCTAACAAGATTTATGTTGTAATTTCAACAAATGATCTGGGGATAAGGCCATGACATACATGTACATTTTAGGGAGCTCTTTACACCACTTTTTGATGACGTACTAATCAAACAAGATGTGTTTGTGAAACACTGATGCCCCCGTATGGCAGCTTATGGCTAAGAATGTTGGTATCCAAAGAAAGGTTTTGTCTCGTGGAATATACCTGTGAAATTTGAAAGACCTAGCTGCAACTGTTCAAAAGTTAAGGTGAAGGTTAATGTCTTTTAAAAGTAAGTAAAACGTCAAGGTTAAGGTCAAAGTTGTTGGTATCCAAAGGAAGGTCTAGTCACAAGGATTACATATGTGTATGAAAGTATGAAAGCCCTAGCTCCAACCGTTCAAAAGTTATGGCCAAGGTTAACGTTTTCCAAAACTAGGTCAAACTCCTAGGTCAAGGTCAAAGGGTCAAAGAGATTGATATCCAGAAGAAGGTCTTGTCACAAGGATAACATATGTAAAGTATGAAAGCACTAGCTCCAACCGTTCAAAAGTTATGGCCAAGGTTAAAGTTTTTCAAAAGTAGGTCAAACCCCTAGGTCAAGGTCAAAGGGTCAAAGAGGTTGACATCCAGAGGAAGGTCTTGCTATAAGGAATATCATGTGAAGTTTGAAACCCCAAGCACCAATTGTACAAAAGTTATGGCCAATGTTAAAGTTTTTCAAAAATGTTGGTCAAACTCCAAGGTTAAGTTCAAAGGTCAAAGTTGGTGGTATCCAAAGAAGGCCTTGTCACAAGGAATACACATGTGAAGTTTGAAATCCTAAGCACCAACTGTTCAGAAGTTATGGCCAAGGTAAAGTCTCATAAAATTTTGAAAAAGTGGGTCAAACTCCAAGGTCAAAAGGTCAAATATGATGGTATCTAAAGAAAGGTTTTGTCACGAGGAATACACATGTGAAATATGAAAGTCATGGCTCCAACCAATCAAAAGTTATGGGCAAGGTTAAAGTTGACAACAGACAGACAGACAAACATACAAACGAACAAACAGACAAGCAGACAGACAGGACAAAAACAATATACCCCCGGGATCTTTCGATTCGGGGGCATAAAAATCAACTTCCATTATTTCGTTTGTTTTCCTGTGGGGACGAATTGTAGAGGTTCCCTCTAGATGATCTATTTAAATCTTTAAAAAGCTTTTAAAAAGAAGACTACTCAACGAGACTACTTCGCAATCTCATAACATTGATAACAAAATAACGGATTCATCATGAATCATAAAAGAAGGTGGATTGTTTTGAAGCAGAGTCCTAAGAGAAGTACTGATCAATGTCATAGCGAACGCGTCGAGATCTACCATTGATCAATGGCCATTGACGGCATGTACTAATGGAGAAAATTCGAGTTGAATTCTGCAATTCTGAAAAAAATAAAAATGGACTCGCGTAATATACAGTATTTTGCTGATTTATGCACTTTCTTTAATTTTTATGCCCCCGGATCGAAAGATCCCGAGGGTATATTGTTTTTGTCCTGTCTGTCTGTTTGTCTGTTTGTCCGTTTGTCTGTTTGTCTGTCTATCTTTTGTGAACTTTAACCTTGCCCATAACTTTTGATTGGTTGGAGCTATGATTTTCATATTTCACATGTATATTCCTTGTGACCTTTCTTTGGGTACCATATTTGACCTTTTGACCTTGACCTTGGAGTTTGACCCACTTTTGCAAAGTTTTATGAGACTTTAACCTTGGCCATATCTTCTGAACAGTTGTTGCTTGGGGTTTCATACTTCACATGTATATTCTTTGTGACAAGGCCTTCCTTTGGATATCAACAATTTTGACCTTTTGACCTTGACCTTGGAGTTTGACCTACTTTTGAAAAACTTTAACCTTGGCCATAACTTTTGGAGCTAGGGCTTTCATACTTCACATATGTAATCCTTGTGACAAGACCTCCCTTTGGACACCAACCACTATGACCCTTTGACCTTGGAGTTTGACCTACTTTTGAAAAACTTTAACATTGGCCATAACTTTTGAATGGTTAGAGCTAGGGCTTTCATGCTTCACATATTTAATCCTTGTGACAAGACCTTTTTTGGGATACCAACCACTTTGACCTTTTGACCTTGACCTAGGTGTTTGACCTACATTTGAAAAACCTTAACCTTGGCCATAACTTTTGAATGGTTGATGCTGGGGCTTTGTTACTTCATATATGTAATCCTTGTGACATAACCTTCCTTTCGATACCAACCACTTTGACCTTGATGTTTTACTTACTTTTAAAAAACTTTAACATTCGCCCTTACTTTTGAACAGTTGCAGCTAGGTCTTTCAATTTTCACAGGTATATTCCTTGAGACAAGACCTTTCTTTAGGTACCAACATTTTTTATCTTTTGGCCTGGATTTTGACTTGCATTTGAGAAACTTTAACCTTTGCCATAAGCTGCCATACGGGGGCATCAGTGTTTCACAAACACATCTTGTTAAGTTATATTTTTAAGAAATTTTAGCTTTAATCTGCTTCTGAGGGTATTGGGAAAGATAACTCCTGCAAGTGGACTTTTTAAACCTTTTTTTAAATTGAAATTTTCATTTTATTAAAACTTCTTTAATTCATTTTTGTCACTTTTTATTCATTCACATACAATTCTTGTTTATTTATAACTGATATTCGAAATTATTTATATGCTTATTAAGATGAAAAGTGCATAAGTTTCTTTGGAGAAAAATACTTTTCTAATAAAACTAATATTGAATATGATGAATATTTGTCATTTTCTTTACATATGTGAACAAGGTGCCCATCACTTTACACTGTGACCTCTGCAATTCTATTGATTTGAAACTTGAAATAAAACATTTAATAAAAAGAAATTGGCAAAATAATTTGAAAATCACGGAAAATAATTCTGATATCGTGATCGTCATTTGGATTTTTGAAATCTACATAATAAGTGGTGCTGTAATGAAATTTGAAATAAACTGTGAGTGTAATGAGCCTCCTTAAGCAATCAGAAGAAACGTTTTTGCAAATTTCTGTCATATTTCCTAACGACCTTAATCTTTTTATAAACCTTAACAAACATAATGACACCATTAGTTCCAAAATCATTGCTTACGCCACATCATAATCTCGTTGGCTAGTGGCCCTTATCTTCAAAAAACACCCAGAACCAAATTTTTTATCACACGTGTAGGTCATTGGTAACACCTCAGTAGGATTTAAATCCATTTTAATTAAGGATTGGAAGCTTTTGAGCTGACACGTTTTAAAATCGTGACATATGTGCGTTTTAACTGGTAAATCTCTTTCATACAGACATAATTCTGCATCAACTTGATTTCTGCTACTTTGTAAAACAGATGGATTCCCCCTAAAAGGCTTTCAAACTCAGTAGATATTGTCTGGGCTATCAAAAATTGAACTTGAACGGGAATACAAAACGATTCATTGACAGTAGAATTATAAAATTCTATATCGCACCTCAGGGTTATATGATTCATATATAGAAGTGCTTCAAATTTACTTGCATTTATTATGATGACAGTACATAGATGAAATATTGGCTGACTTAAATAACACATGGAACGTCGTATCAAATAGAACAAATCTTTATTTCAGAAATATTGCTAATAAGAACAAAGGCATGGTTTTCCCTGCAAAATAAAAAATTTCCATTCAGTTAATAAAATATTAAAAATTGATTTTTTGTCAGTTCAATTCCAAGTATTTTCACGAGACTTACCAGTGGTCTCTCGCAGACGTAATTGTTAACCTGTCCACAGCTGTCAACGTGCCAGTGATATTTGTATGATCTCCAGAAGATACCGCAATTGTAGTCCCCATGTTCATGATAAATTGGTTCCTGACTGTACCAATCAAATTTGTGGCATGGCTTGACGGTGAATCCCCAGCACCACCTATGTTTGTTTGGTCTCAAAACGTCATTTAAAGCCAACCAGGCTCCTCTCCTGTCTGCATTGCATACGTGTAAATAATTATAGATTATTATAGATTTAATAAGTGATCATAGAGATTTCGTATTTGAAATATTCTATTTATGACGTAACGACTTACATCCATAGATACTGCACATGTGTCTGACGTAGGTGTTTTCGTGGGATTGGTCAATGGATACCAGGTATCCTCCCATGGCAACACATCTCATCTGCGATAAAATAAACAAAACTTGAAACCGCCGGTTAGACTAAAATCTGTTAGATTGTGCATGATGTAAAATAAAAAGAATACGGTTTAAATATACATGATCTAGACTTTACATGTTATATGTGTCTTTGAAAAAGATTATTGAGATTCTCCATAGAACAATTGACAAGAATAAGGTACAATTTACTTACAGAAGCCCTGTACCAGTTAAGTTTGTCCCTGCTGAACCAGTAACAACGTTTGTTGTACTGATGCCATCCATAAGGACAACCACCAGAAACAACTCTGGCTGCAGCGTACTTAAAGGCCCTATACCTTGGTGCATTGCCGTAACTGGCCTCAGATACTTTAAAAAGTGAAAAAATAATGTCACAAATAATAATGTTTTTGTAAATAATTGTATAGTAGGGTTTTAAGTAGAAATAATTGTTGTTACTCAAGCTGTAATTTTCATGTGTATTTTTTGAGTGACGTATGGTGAGAATTATCTAGTTTTTTAATTTTAAATAACCATTGCATTCTGAACCTTTGACTTTTTCCCAAAATCAGGATGATATAAAACTTTCAATGTTTTCTCTATTTATCTCTTTTTATTTAGACTGTACATAAGAAAGGGATTTTGAAATAAATAAATAAAAAAAAAAAAGCACAATTCATTGTTTGATCATATTTTTTTCAACTTCGGCAATAATCGATTATGATATTTTTTCAAGAAATCTGGCAGATGAATACATACCAGCTAGGAATGTGGAAACCAGCAAAAGCAAGGCGATAAGTGTGTTCATGATTGAAGCTTTTCTCAATGTCCAATCACACTTCTCATCGTGTATATATACTGAATACAAAAAGAATCAATATCTCATCATTTATTCATACGAACAGTTGCTTAACACAGTGAGACGAACGCCTCTTTCCAGCTTCTTCATTATGAACATTAGTTTCCATGTTTGCTTTTCTATACAGTCATCATACGTTTATAACATCTAATCGTCTTAAGATACAAAAAACAGATGTCAGAATTGTTTTATACATCAGTAATGCATAAAATACCCAAAATCGGACAACTAAAGGGTGTTCCAAAAATACTTAAGGAATGTGCTGAGCATTCAGAAGAATTTTATATATAGGAAGGATTGTTGACTTTGTTTGGAGTACTCTCAAGTCACCATGAACGCCTTCCTTGCACTCTGTCTTCTCGTTAGTGTAATTGCTGGTAAATTATTTCTCAAAATTGCTTCGTTCGATAGTTGAATACATTCAATAATTTTACCGTTTGCCCAAGCTTTATTTTAATTTCTTTTCAGTTGAAGGCAGCTATGACTATGCTCCCAAATACAGCAGTTTTGGATATGTTGCCGCCAAGATCGCTAAAGGGACCTGTCCTTATGGTTGGAGTTTGTATCATGGGAGCTGTTATTATTTTAGCAGAGATAGACTGTCATGGTGGCAGGCTTCTGTAATTATAGCTGATCATTACTTACATTATTTTAAAACGATAGAATTGTTTTAATATTAATTAATACATAGGACTTGGGAGTATGCTGAACAGAGGATATATAACGTGAGATAATCAGCATTTGATAAGAATTCTTGATACGCTTTTTCCTTTTTTCTCTGAAATGTTTCAGATGAAATGTGCTTCTATGGGAGGATTTTTATGCAATGTTGACGAAGCCCATGAAAACACATATATCAGACATCACCTTGCTATGTACGGAGGTACGTTCACAATGACACACCAAAACGGTGTTTTACATTTTAAAAAAAAATGCTTATAATGAAGATAAAGTATTGAATTTTAACAGCAATGTGACAAATTTTGTACTTTTTATTTTCTAAAGGAAATCGATTTATTCTAAAATGCTGATATCTATTTCTCTCAATTTTTCAATAGTTCTGAAGAAATTAGCATATTGTTTCCATGAATCCTAGAAAACGTTCTTATCTAGTGCATAAATAAGAACGATTAATATAACCTGTTTTGTTTTATTGTATCTATTTTGTTTCATAAACAAAACAATTTAGTCGCCCGCGTGGCGCAGTGGTTTGAGAGTTTGCTCTAGAGTCGCGGTGTAAAGAGTTGATCTTTACGTCGCAGGTTCGAATCCCATTACGGGACGAGGAGACCGGTGGTTCTTCGGATGAGACCGTATAAACTGAGGTCCCAGAAGATGCTGACACGAAAAAGATCCCTCACTGCTCAATGGCCCTGAGTGCCGAATATAGGTCTAAATTTGCTACCCTCCACCAGCAATTGGTGGCATCTCCACCAATTCTCGATAGGGACGTTAAACAACAAAGAAACAATTGAGTAACTCGAGTATTTAAACTATTATATACTTACAGTAACTCCTGGAGCATGGATGGCCCTGAACGACTGTCTTTACCCCAACGCTCACAGATGGAGCTGGGGATTCACAAAGAGGCGATGTCACAAGTTTGATTGGTACGGTAACGAGCCCGTGTACCATAAAAAGGGAGACTGGAATTGTGGAGCTTTCTGGTCCAGTTACAAATATCACTGGCATGTCGATAGCTGTGCTCAGAGAAACTACTACGTCTGTGAAATGAAATTGGTAATTTCTTCATTATTTATAGAAGCCGGAGATGATTTAATAGTAATTGCATGAAGGATTCAATATTGAGTAACATCTATTTATACATTATTTTTTTTGTACAGGGAAAACCATGCAGATGCCAGTATTAATTCATTGTGGATTTCTTAATAAATGTTTAAACAAGAATTATTTCTCATTGTTAATTAATGCTGTGTTTATTTTACTGAGTCTTTTGACAAACAACCATGAATATGTTAAAGAATATAGTTAATAAGAGAAGATTCATTTATTTCAATACAACTCAAATTCAATGATAAAGGAAATGCTGAGAACGTTCTTTATCAAGAGCTTGTTTCAAAATGCACCAGGCCAGTCTTGAATATTCCGATGGGAAAAAAAACATCAATGCATCAGACCAGTTGGGATATCTCAGTGGAAAACCATTAAGAATCTCCTTGTTTAAAATGGATCACAGACCAATAAGATTGGGATTGGTTTTAGTCTTTATAAAAAAAAGCTCATCGATATCATTTCTGGTCAATGAATTTAGGTTGAATGTAATTCACTACTCATACTTAGATCATTTAATTTCTATTACAATACAATGATCTTGTCAGCACATACAAGCTATCATTGAGTCAAATGCTGACTGACGTTTTTCATACTAATTGTTGAGCCATTCCATTATTTATGCACTGAACTGTCTACGGATTTTCCTGTTTTTTTCCCGATCATGACAAGGAGCACACGGCGGGTGTGACCGGTCGGCAGGGGATGCTCACTCCTCCATGGCACCTGATCCCACCTCTAAATTTTGAGGTCCGTGTTTGCTCTACTCCAAATTTGTATCATTTCATTGGACTGTTCATTATCTTCATATTTCATTCTAGTCAATGCATGTAGTATGTAAGAATGGGAATCTTTTCATAGACTTCAACAATGTAGCTTTATATTGTTAACGCATTTTGAGTTTATCTCGAAATTTTTTTTATATATTTTTCTTTATTTTTCATTGTAATGATAATGTCTATAGTATTAATTCTCTTCTTAATGCGCGAGTATATTACAACACACTTCCTAGGAAATGATAAAAAAAAATGTCATTGATGTATACCAATTATATACTGTAAACTAACTTTTATTCGCGTGCGAGAAGTATCCGCGAGTTCTGCGACCTTCTTTTACTCGGGAATAACACTAAATCCACTGAATTGATACAATTCTAAGGTATCAAATTAATCAAAAGTATATAAAACACAAATCCATCCCAGCTCATTGCAGACAAAAATACCTGTTTCGAGTAAAATAGAGGGAATAATTCTTGTCCTCGAAGAAAGTATGCTACACTGAGGTATAGTTTCGCTTGACTGCGTTTTAGTTACAAAAAAATACGATTTGCCTTTTCTTTTGAATTAATGTCTTTATATAAAAAAATTAATATGCATCAAACAGAGTTAATTGAAGGAAAATACACAAATCCGATAAGAAAAAATTAAGCAATTAAAACAGATTTTGAAAGGCGAGAATTTAAAACTGGAAAAGTGTGACACCAAGTGGATTCGAACCACGACTCTAAAAGTAACTTCGGCACCATGAGCCAGCGGTCTTTTATTTTTAACATCTTTTAAGAGCCAGCGGTCAAACTTTCTGAGCTAATCTGATCATATAACAAATGGTTACATATATAAATACGAACCAAGTTTCCTTATTTTTTATAGGTTTCTTTTCTTGTTATTTTCGACCCAACGACAGGTGTGCCCTTTAGAAAAAAATCCATTTCAAATTATTTCTTACATCCTACCAAAATATCATAATTTTATTTGGGGACAGGCCTGCCTTAAGGATGCTCCTTATGGTCAATTCTTTTGAATTTCCGAATACATTCTTTCTGCAGTAGAAAACCAGGGATTAATGAACTAGAGGCTGTGTTGACATACATTTTGTAGATCATACATAACTGTCTATTTTCATTTTAGTTCATTTATTTTCACTAAAAGTAAGTTTATTTAATGTCTTGTATATATAAGATAGATGTAAAATGGATCTGTAATATTATTTAAGAATAAGCATTTGAAACAATGTCCTTAATAAAAGATGTATGTATTGAATATTATTTTGTACAAATGTGCCTTGTTTACACTACATTCTGGACTCAATCTGTCAACTGTTAGAGCGACACAAACTGATAACACCTTCATATACAATTACATCAGAATAAATTGGAAGTAAACATGAAACGAAATTTCCTGTTATCAAATAGATACAAAATATTGAAAAGATTGAGTTCACACAATAGTCACTTCTAGTCAATTCTATTATAAGTATACAATGCGATAAGAAATTTTCTTTATGAATTAATATTGATAGTGGTCGATGGTCGGGGGAGGGGGTGTGGCTAGAATATGATAAATCTGTTGTTTTTCTGTACCACAGTGTAGGTATTAGTATACTCTTGTATTAATTTCTTTCGTGTTAGAGTAGTTAAGTGTGTTCTTGAAAACTTCTATACTTCAATCACAGTCCAGATACTCCTATACCTTTTTCTTGTATTATCACCAAAACATAATAGGTGGTTATATCAATAGCAATCTAACTATAAAATTGATAAAAGTCTGAAAAGCTTATGGCAGTGTGTTAAAGTTAAAAAAATATTTTTCTGTCATCCTTGAGCATTGATTCATTTATTTTCCACACAATCACATCCATAACATGCGAAAGCCTGTAAGTATCAAACAAAAAAAAATAAACGCCCATTATCTCGTAATAACGAGATAATTATCTCGTGACTACGAGGAAATTATCTCGTAATTTCGATATCAGGTTCCGGGGCCATGAAACTTAGACGAGCTCATTTTTGATCTCAGTCTCACTTTTCCACTATTAATTAATTCCTTTGGTAAAAGTGAGACTGAGATCAAAAGTGAACTCGTCTAAGTTTTATGGCCCCGGAGCCTGATCTCGAAATTAAGAGAAAAGATCTCGTTATTATGAGAAAATTATCTCTTAGTTACAATGTACAGAAAAATATACACGTACGTAAGCTTTTCTCTTTCCGTCCTTCTTTTTCAATTTTTTTTTTTTTTTTTTTTTTTTTTTTTTTTTTTTTTTTTTTTTTTTGATAATTGCAGGTCGAGGAAATCAAGATTTATTGAAGCAATCTTTTCTACAATGACTTCCACTGGCAGATAAAACGGAATGTTGGAATGAGTGTCCTCCTAAAATAATTTTATATACTAAGAAAGGCACGAGCAAGGACTTAATGCTTTAGGTGTAGGTAGATTAAATTCTAAATGAATTCCTCAGGGTAGGAATCTCTAACCTACCCAAGTAACCGTTTATCAAGTCGTAAAAAATAATTTAAAAGCCTTGATTTGCATGAGTGAGTACAAAAATACTGTTCTACTATACTACATTTTGCAATTAAAATACTTCTTAAAGAACGAAGAGAAAATACTTTTTAAAGAACCGGACGTTATTTTTATTTTTTTTTTTACTTGATACTAATACACATGTAGTTAATAATAACAGCTACATGTATATAACGACGTCCATTTTGATAATAAAACTAAGAATCATTTTTAAGAATCTTCAGACAGGTCAAGTTTACCTTGCTGTGACAAAATATCATAAGATTATGGTCTAGTAATATTTTGACTGAAATTAAACGTAACTTAATAATGTAACCGATAGAAGTAAATTAATAATTGCTGCAGAATATACAGTAAGTGGCACCTCCAATGTTTATTTCGCCTGCGTGCTCACTTATATGACAACAGTTTGATCAACAATGGCTTCTACAATTTATGCATTTTCACTATATGATCAGAGCCCCAACCTAACTCCAGAACCCCTGACCCTGAGGCCTTAAATTTTCAACTAAATTTTATCAGCAGACCAGTGTTCAGAACTGTTCAACAGAAATACTGACAAATCTAATGTAACAATTTTCAGTAGAATCTCCCCTTGGATGGCATTTGGGGATCGAACATGTAAACCTACAAGTAGTATATCCTCGTGTGTAAAATTGTAAATATAACCACCTTTGTTTGATAAATAAAATTTTCATTCGTCTCTAGGAATGTTCATTTGAACAACTTCTCAAAAATTTATTGCAGTGAGCCCGTCCAGTAAAAGAAGACAAACCTATCTTTTTAAAATTTCGTGTTGATACTTATATGTTGATATTTTATGTTCTATCCTCAAAGCTTTCTTTATAAATTAAAAACAAATTGTTCAGACAAAACTGAATAAATGATTACCTCCTATTATATAATAATATGATTATTTCGTTTCCTTTACGTCTGCTGTAATTAAAACAGCATTAGCATTTTGTCATTATTTCTTTTTCCTTTGCTTAGTTAACACCTGCTTTAAAAAGGTGAACGAAACATGCATTTTTCAAAAGTAGGAAACCATTTGACCTCCATAAAATTTTTAGGAATAGCTGTTCCACTAAAAACATTTCTTTTAAAAAATGACAGAAATTTGCTTTTTATCAATATACACTGTGTACTTGTGTACTGTAAAAGAAACAAATTGTAAGTAATTAACCTATAAAATAAAAGAAGTTTTACGTGATTGCAGTCATGAGAAAAATTGTTTGTTGACGATATTTTTGTTTTAATCTCTACCTGGGACCTGTAATTCATTTTCTTTAAAATGATATTTCCAGATAATGTATCAAATGAAAACATCTGGCGAGTAAATTTTTATATTTTAAGTATATTATCAATTTTCTCCTTCAGTGTTATTAATCTTATTTGAAGAGAACTTTTTAAACAATATAGATACAAAAATTTAGTGACAAACGTATGGAAAATTATGAAGCCCATAAAATCACGTATGTGGGGCTTAGATAACATTACATTAATTCCACAAGATATGTTGAATAAAAAGTTACTATTATTCTGTATACCCTGATCAGGAAACACCAATGTACATGTACATATATTTTCTTTCAATGTCAATAGACAAGAAAAAATAAGGAAACCCATGAAACATGCCCGAGAAATCAGACATTGCTAATTTTGCAGAGCAGATGTCACACAAGTTCTTCATGCATCGTCACCATAATCAAAACTGAAGTCGAAATAATTATTAACTTTCACCTAATTTACAATGTTTCTTTAATGCTATAATTTGATAGATAACGGCAAAAGATAGACATACCAACTCACAGTGCTCAACGATGATTTATTTAATATCATTAAAGAATTACAGGACAATTGTGATAACTACATGGTATTTAAACTGTGATTAACACTTCAAATCTGACCAATTACCCCGCGATCTCAATAAGGAGAGTCATAATTACCGCCAAATCAGCTTATATAGATATGTGAAAAAAACGTTACATTATCAACGTTTATGCAGAAGTTTCTTTTTTAAAATGAATTTATATATTATACATATATTTTATTTTTTCCGACTAACCGATTACAGATTTTCTAACCGATTTCTGTCCTTCCGACCAAGTAACCGGTTACAAATTGACATCCCTAATATATATATATATATATATATATATATATATATATATATATATATATATATATATATATAGAGAGAGAGAGAGAGAGAGAGAGAGAGAGAGAGAGATTTGAAAATTAAATGATAAATGTATTTGATTGGACTCCGAAGAGTGTAGCAGTTATCTCGAATTTCACGTAAGTATTAAAAAATCCTGATTTTGGTAAATAGAAATGTATAAGCGTAAGCGTTAGTTAGCAAACATTTTTATTCAATACCTACATTTATATATCTATAAAAATCAGTACTGGCATTTACAAGGTTTTCCCTGAAACAAAAATTTAAAAAAATATTAACTTTCTTTATTCAATTAAAAGCCAATATCAATTCAGAATACTCAAGATAACTAAATACTCGAACAATGAAATTACCTTCAGTTTAAAGAAAGTCCTCTTTAAATCAAACACTGGTATTTAACATATTAAATAAAAATTTACCAATTTCATTTCACAGACGTAGTAGTTTCTCTGAGCACAACTATCGACATGCCAGTGATATTTGTAACTGGACCAAAAAGCTCCACAATTCCAGTCTCCTGTTTTATGGTACACAGGCTCGTTTCCGTACCAATCAAACTTGTGACATCGCCTCTTTGTGAATCCCCAGCTCCATCTGTGAGCGTTAGGGTAGAGACAGTCGTTCAGAGCCATCCAAGCTCCAGGAGTTACTGTAATTATAATTAGTTAAAAGACTCGTATATGGTATCTGTAGAATGGCATGCATATCAACAACATGAGGTTAAAGACAACAGCTTGAAACAATTCCCAGTTGCATTACATGAAAAGTTGAACAGAAATGTGAACTTTTGTTGGAGATCCAAATCTTTTGGTATTATTTGGAACAATGCGCCCTCGTAAAACAAATCCCTAATAGCTAATTTTGTCCTCGACCTACCTCCATACATAGCAAGGTGATGTCTGATATATGTGTTTTCATGGGCCTCGTCAACATTGCATAAAAATCCTCCCATAGAAGCACATTTCATCTGAAATGTTAAGTAAAATTCCGTGACTTGTAATAACTGTAGAAAATCAACAAAACTCTTACGTAAATATAATTCACATATGACTTTTTGGGAATATATCAAGATGATCAAGATTAAACTTTAATAAGACTAGAAGGAAGAGGGTATATTTTTCTATTTCTAAGGCTTGATAATTGTGCTAGTATAATCAAGCTGATATTTACGGAGGCCTGCCACCATGACAGTCTATCTCTGCTAAAATAATAACAGCTCCCATGATACAAACTCCAGCCATAAGGACAAGTCCCTTTAGCGATCTTGGCAGCAACATATCCAAAACTGCTGTATTTGGGAGCATAGTCATAACTGCTTTCAACTGTAACTAAAAAATAATAATGAAAAAAAAATTAAAATAAAAAATAATTAAATTATTTGAATAAATAAAAACTCATTTTCTATTCCCCTTTGTCACTATTATTACCTATCGTTACAGAAACCACGAGTGTTAAGATAAGTAAACAATTCATGACTGTAGCTAGCAGCATATTGCTAATTGTTCATATTATGTTCTTTTTATAAGTTTGTATCCTTTTCCTACATATGTGAAATGTAAATATTCACGCCTTTTTCGTGTCAAAAACATGCCAGAAAACTGCATTTGTGCTGATCCAAGGGAAAGTAATCAAGCACATTGCATGTATTGAACTACGAACAGATATGTATGATATCAGGGCGGGAAATGATCCCTTGTTAATGTGATATTATAACGTAGAACACAAATATTATTGTACTTGTTCAAATATGATTGTATAGAGTATATATACCGAGGACAGTTTTGGAAACCAGTAGATTACTAAAATCAGCCCCAGCATGAATGCAGTGGTTTTTGCTTGTCTTTTGCTCTCAGCAACACTCGCTGGTAAGTTAAGCATCACATTAATTCCAGTATTTACTTTAAAAGTTCATATTAGTTAATCAATACCAATGTGTGATATCATGACATTTTTATAAGAAAATGTATTAATTCAATGCTACTGAACTCGCTACAAAATATTCCAAAATCTTAAGTTAGCTTAAATAACAAATAAAGAATTATTTTATTTTATAAATATTTCAAATAAAAATAATCTCTCAGTATATATATTTCAACAAAATTTTCAACCTTGCAGTCTCACAAGCCAGCTATAATATAAGGCCAAGGTACAGGGCCTTTAAGTACGCTGCTGCCAGAGTTGTTGCTGGTGGTTGTCCTTATGGATGGCATCAGTACAACAAACGTTGTTACTGGTTCAGCAGGGACAAACTTAACTGGTACAGGGCTTCTGTAAGTAAATTGTACCTAACTATTGCCCTTTGTTTAAACCGAGAATCCCCTTTAAAGACAACTTAAACAAGAAGAAAATAGAAATTGTATATTTAAACTTATTTTTTTGAATTAAATGCAATCCAGTACCCCTCGGATTAACAAGCGAGTTTAAGTTTTGTTTACTTAATGTAGATGAGATGTGTTGCCATGGGAGGATACCTGGTATCCATTGACCAATCCCACGAAAACACCTACGTAAGACACATGTGCAGTATCTATGGATGTAAGTCGTTACGTCATAAGAAGACTATTTCAAATACGAAATCTCTTTGATCACGATGAGTACTTATTAAATCTATAATAATCTATAATTATTTACACGTATGCAATGCAGACAGGAGAGGAGCCTGGTTGGCTTTAAATGACGTTCTGAGACCAAACAAACATAGGTGGTGCTGGGGATTCACCGTCAAGCCATGCCACAAATTTGACTGGTACGGTCAGGAACCAATTTATCATGAACATGGGGACTACAATTGCGGTATCTTCTGGAGATCATACAAATACCACTGGCACGTTGACAGTTGTGGACAGGTTAACAATTACATCTGCGAGAGACCACTGGTAAGTTTCATGAATATACCTGGAATTAAACTGACAAAAAATATCAAATGTGAATATTTTATTTACTGAATGGAAATTTTCTATTTTGCAGGGAAAACCATGCCACTGTTCTTATTAGCAATATTTCTAAAATAAAGATTTGTTCTACTTGATACCGTGTTCTGTGGATATGTCAGTCAGCAAATATGTCAATTATATATTTTCATCATAATAACAACGTGTAAAGAAAGATTTTTGGGGACATTACTTATGAAGTTACTTCAACTTCAAACTGTTTCTCTAGATTTAAAATTATTTCAAGAATACCAGCCCATATAAAGCCTACTGATAGCGATTCAAGAAATTCTGTCGTAGTTATAACCTCACGGTGCTATAGAAATACTACAATTCTATTCTAGAAATTTATTGTTTATTTTTATATTTCCGTCTATTCCAAAGTTTGTTTGACATTATCTTTTATGTCCAGTAAAAAATATGTTGTCTCTCCCCCACCCCCCTTTCCCCGATGGGAAAAAAGTCTTACTGGTATCAGCATTGATATACATGTACATGTATGTCATAAATGAAATATGGAGATAACGAACAGTAATCAAGCTCAAAAGTCCACTGAAATAAAACAAATAGGGAGCAGAGCAAGCACGGACCTCTAAAAGCATCAGAGGTGAGATCAGGTGCCAATCGACATTTTTCGCTTTAATCAATGCGAAATAGATATTTTTTTTGCTCGAGATAATTAAGCTTTTTAATCTGAAGAGTTTTCTAACAAAGAGTCATAAAAACCAATTCTTCAATTCTATGGGTGTATTGAAATCATTTCTACTGAAAAAGAGTGGTTTTTCGAATAATTGTATTTTAATTGAATTGAATCTACAAATATTTTTGTATTTGATTGGTATATAGTATGTCAATGTTGCACCATTAATTTACGATAGTTTGTCTTTTTTTCTTGCATTTACAGAGTATTCAAAAATAAATAAATAAAAAAAAATGAAAGAAAGAAAGAGCTGGCTATGACTTTACGATGAAATGCATCGGTCGAAAAGGAAGAAACAGTTTTATTTTGATTTAGACCTGCTAGTATTTTTTCACAGCAGATTCAGCACGAACGAAGAGAGATAAGTCAAGTGTGCAAACCTATTTTAAAATAGAAATTAAATGACGAATTCTATGGAATGGTTGTTTCTATGTTGTTTAACGTCCCATTCGAGGATCTTTCACTCATATAGAGACGTTACCTGTTTGCCGGTGAAGAGCTTCATATTTAGACTTATACTCGGCACTGTACACGGGCCATTGAACAGTGAGGGAGCTTTATCATGCCAATGCCCACCGTGAAACGGGACCTCGGGTTTTAAGGTCTCATCCGAACGACCCGTGACTTTCATTTCTAGTGCCGAGCGCTTGGCGAAGGAACTATCTATGTTTACGTCTTAGGTTTGACGCGAACGAGAATCGAACTCGGGTCTCCCAATCACGAAGCGAGCGCCCTACCACTAGGCTACCGTGAACGGTGCAAATTCTATGGAAGAAGCAGACAGACCTTGGGCGACAACCGGTATTCTCAAGTATCGTACAGGCAAACCTCCATCCCGATATCTTGTTATTGTCATATAAAAGCAAGAAGATCATGATGGTGAAACTTACTGTTAACTCGGAAGAAAGATGTGAGGATGCCTACGAGAGAAAGAAAACAAATACATGTACTGGGATCTGACAGATGAAATACACAGAAAAGGATGGAGCGCATGGGTATTTCTCTATGGGGATTGGCTGTAGAGGATTCCCAGCACAACCAATCTAGAGAGCCATTACAGTCCTGGGAATCACAGGAAGGGACAAAAGATGAGGAATACAAAGACCAACAAACACAGCATAGAAGCCATCATACTGGCTGTGGAGAAAAAGAGCAGACTAGAACTGGAAACCATTCATAGATGGACAGTAATTTAGCCAATCACAGGTTATAGATCGAAGCAACCGATGACGAGTGGAGCTGAGGTTTTTTCTGTCTTTCTCTCTGAAAGCTCAATTTGAAATAGGTAGCACCTGTTCCTTCGCCAAGCACTCGCACTTTGAAGTGAAATTGCAGGTCTTTCGGATGAGGTCTAAAAAAACCAAGGCAACGTGTCATGGCAATCTAAAGAACCCTCACTCCTCAAATGCTACATGTGCCAAGTAAAAGCCTAAACATAATCCCTTTAACAGTATTTGGTGACGTCTTATACGAGTGAAATAATCTATATATATATATATATATATATATATATATATATATATATATATATATATATATATATATATATATATATATATATATATATATTTAAGAATAAGTTCAGGTTTGGAGCAAAACCAAAACTAAAGGCTGTTGAAATTTAAAAAAAAAACTTTTTAAAACAAGGAATTACATGTAACACTTAAGGGACAGGACAGCTTGAGGAGGGGGGGGGGGGTTAGTACCCTCATTTCTTGGTAGTTGTACCAGATATAATCGCAATGTTTCAAATTCACAAAATAAATGCTACAAAATAAACATACATTTTTCCCAGTACAATTATATTCTAATTAGTTTTGTAGTAGTTTTAAAGTAAAATATAATTGGTTTACCTGATTTTTTTTCTAAATATACTCAAGTATTTTTCTGGAAGAAAAATAATTAGTATTACGTATGATTGCGTATATCTATTATTTTATTGGACTTTTGCGAGAAGCACTGACTTTTACACTCGACGGCTTACTTTGACATTTAAACATGTGTCATGTACGGAGGTACGGACTTGATATTAGATCAGAAAACCTTAGTAGTAGTCATAGGTATGGTGTTAGGGGCACTTACATGATTTACTTGTATGCAATCAACACAAGAGATGATGGGAGGAAGAATAACATAACTTAAAATACCTTATTCGTGAGGGATAGTATTTCCTTTCAATCTCATTTTATGAAAGAATCAAATAAGGAAAAAATACAATCGAAATGAAAACTTGGCAGTAGTTGGTCAAATGGGGAAGGAGGGGGGTTAGTATAGGGTGTTTCTCTTTCCCCTCCCTAGAAAAACGTAGTATGTTCTTTGAAATGAATTATTATCGTTTAATTATTTGATAAGCTAAATATTTATATCGAAAAGAGTTGCTGTATATTGTCCCAGTGTAAAAGTAAGCCGTCGAATGTAAAAGTCAGCGCTTCTCGCAGAAGTCCATTATGAAATTAAAGTGTGGATAGAGATATGATAATTACATGCAGTTTCGAAATTGGAATTATTGAAATCTCATGTAGTTAAATTGAATGGTTATAGAAAATATATCGATAGAAACTATCCCGGACAATGTAGACGTGTAATTTCTTTTAGTTCCCATTCTCGCCTTTGCATGTTACTTCTTATTTTGAAACTATGAGTGGATAAGGCACAATGTTTTATGCGAAATATAAGCGTTCAATAATGGAAAAGGAATACCTGGTATATTTTGTTTTGAAAATTTGCTTTTCAATGAAAATTTTCCAAATTATATCCTAATTATAACGAAGCATTGTTTTTATTGTTTACTTTAAAGATAATATTTATCAGAGAATGATATGATGTGCAAATATATTTGGCACGACACAAATTTGCCTCTCTTTGAGAAATGTTTCTTTATAGTTTACAGGATTTATCCATTGTCATTTGCTATCTTTACATTTGGCAGATTGTTATCGATAACATTAATATTAATATATTCAGATGTGTTTGACAATGTGCTTTAAATTCGAATACTTTATAGAAATAACATGTGCAAATTCCCAGAGTAATTACTAATACTTAGAGAACCTTTTTAAAATTTTAATAGAGGAATACTTTGAAGACTGAAAGCACAGTTGATTAGAGGACATTTTAAATCCGGAATGACATTTAAAAAATACAGAAAAATTCATATTTATCTTTTGTTTTATTTCATAAGGATCAAAGAAGACACGTGTAAATATTTCTCTTACGGTTATAATGAAGCACTGAATTCATATTTTTCGAGATGCATTGTTTCATAACATGCTAAGACACATTATTCAATTTTTCAGGACAGTCGTCCAAGTTATGAAGCAAAGCATGTTAAAAATTTTAATTTAATGCTTATATTTATATTATCTGATCACATTTTAATGGATAAAATTTACCTTTATTTTTTTTAATTACATTAAACAGCCAATCTGTTTTGTATGCAAATAGTATAGAATCGTGAGGAATGGTGTTTTAAATCTCCCACTCATATGACATTGTTTTTTAACAAATGTTTCTCGACGAATTAGATTCAACTTATTTATATGAAAGTATGATATAATAAAATATGACCTCAAGGCACTGCGAACTTGAGCTTGTACAGGAACATATAGTACAATTTTTAATTTAAAATAGAGGAAAAATTTAATTTTTTTTTATTTCACATTTACCATAGTGATAAGAAAGAAAAAACAAATTTGGATGAAAGCTTAAAAACTGAAAAATTCCATCAATTGGGATTTATTAAAGATAACTCCAACATGGTTAATATTTTGTTCACTGATTGCTTTATAATGATTCTTTTTTTTTTACATTAATAACAAATACTTCCTATGTAGCTGAATAGTAAACTTCAAAACCAAATGAAATCGAGAATAAAATATTGATGCAAAAGTTTATTTAAAATAGTTAGTGATGATTAATATTGGCACCTGCAAGGTTTTCCCTGAAAAATAAAGAGAAAATGCAGTTACTCTTTGTAAACAATTTCAGTTTGATATTTAAAAGGTTTTTACATTTAAATTTCAATAAGCGGAAAAAGAATTCTCTTCCTGTTGATTTTGAGATGTTAGATAATTGTTTGTGTTTCAAATAAAAAAAAAGCATTAAGATGCATTTTACCAATTTCATTTCACAGACGTAGTAGTTTCTCTGAGCACAGCTATCGACATGCCAGTGATATTTGTAACTGGACCAGAAAGCTCCGCAATTCCAGTCTCCCTTTTTATGGTACACGGGCTCGTTACCGTACCAATCAAACTTGTGGCATCGCCTCTTTGTGAATCCCCAGCTCCATCTGTGAGCATTAGGGTAAAGGCAGTCGTTCAGGGCCATCCAAGCTCCAGGGGTGACTACCATTGGAATGATATACAATTTAAGTAAAACAAAAAGAATTCCAATGCTTGGTAAATATAACATTTCAATTGCTTCTTCACACTCTAAAAAGATAGATATATGCATTCTCTTTCAAATAAAAAAAAGATACAATAAAAGGAAAATTTGCTAATTACATTTTTTTGTTTCGCTTATCATTTGTGAAAGGTTATCTTACTTTTAAAATTGTGAGTAATTTGTTATCTTACCTCCATACATAGCAAGGTGGTGCCTGATATATGTGTTTTCGTGAGCCTCGTCAACATTGCATAAAAATCCTCCCATAGAAGCACATTTCATCTGAAAGAATACATGGCTCCGATATTTACAAATCAAATACTTTCTCTAATTGCAATGCAAAAAAAGAATACAGTGAACTGTTATGATATAAAATTACACTACGGTAATTTTCAAAACAATAAAATCTCGACATGTAATTTCGAAACCTGTGCTACTACTGATATAATTATATGACAAATTCATCTCTTTATTCATAACAAATTGCTGATCCAATTACTGCAGGTAAACATCAAATATAGTATATCCTCTGATAAAACATAAACTAAAACAAGTTTTCTACCACTTGACCAATAATTTAGCTAAAATAACATAATTATTTACCGACGCTTGCCACCATGACAGTCTATCTCTGCTGAAATAATAACAGCTCCCATGATACAAACTCCAGCCGTATGGACAGGTCCCTTTAGCGATCTTGGCGGCAACATATCCAAAACTGCTGTACTTAGGAGCATAGTCATAGCTGCCTTCAACTGTAATTGAAAAAAAAAATAAAATTATACCTTTATATATTCAAATGCTACTGAATACTAGTATAGTACCGGAAACTATCTCCGAGTACGAAAATAAGCATCAGTATTAAAGTAGATGTTTTGGAGGAAAAAATTCTTCCTCTTTCCCTAATTATGACTCAAACGACAGACGACCAATATTATATAAATGCTATGCCATGATTAAAAATATCAGGAACTGAATATTCTTAGTAATGTTAAAGATTTGTATCTTTATTACAAAGATCCTCGCCTACTGACTTAGGCTATTGAGATATAAGTAGACTCAAGGGTACAAATACTTTAAGCTTTAATTGATGGAAAACTGCAAAATAATGTTTAAATCTCGTACTTATAAGAAATCAAGAAACGATATATCGTAATTTGAATCAAGGTTATATTCTTTCAAAAGTCAAAGTCAGTGGGCGATGAGATAATGAAGGTATAAAGTAATTCATTCTCAAATTTTGGGGTTTATATGATTTTGATAACGATGATGATGATTGAATAATTAATTGTATGTTGTTTAACGTCCCATTCGAGAATTTTTCACTCATATAGAGACGTCACCATATACCGGTGAAGGGCTTCAAATTTTGACCTTTACTCGGCACTTAGGGCCATTGAGCAGTGAGAGATCTTTAGCGTGCCAACGCCTGCCGTGACATGGGGCCTCGGTTTTTAAGGTCTCATCCGAAGGACCCGCAACACTTTCACTTCAAAGCGGCGAGCGCATGGCGAGGGAACAGTTGCTACCCATTTTTTATCGACTTAGGTCAGTCGCGGCCGAACTCACGACCTCCCGATCAAGACGATGATAATGAAAGTATAATGCAATAATTCTTTATTCAATCTTTTTACTTTAATAATTCTGTTACTAATGATTAAAATGCTAATGAAAATATTCCGTCTCTTATATGCAGGAAACTATTGAATTTATCATATTTTAGATTTATTTTAGGACTGGTAGAATACGGCATTGAATAACAAAGTTAATTGGTAACATAACAATCACTTGTTCTTATTACTTGTTTTTAATATGGAAATCTAAATTCTAAATTCAGTCTAAAGTCTAAATTTGAATTATGAAGAGTTCGAATCAGAGATAGACAGGTCCTTATCCTGTATTTTCTTTTTTCTTACCTGATGCTACAGCCACCAACACTGATATAGCAAGGAAGCAGTTCATGATTGATTCCTACGGTATATATTAAATGAATGCAAAGTCATCCCTTATATAAAGTCTTATTTGGATTTGTACGTGAATATACGAGAAGATATTCACGCCCTTTTCATTTCAAAAAGAAAAACATGTATGCTTTCGCAAACAACATATTTGCTGATAAAGATGTATGCAAAGCCCTAATAATAATCGAAATGGGAGGTAACAGGGCGGGAATTAAGCTCTTGTTAAGTTGAAAATTTATTGTAGTACATGACATTTCTTACAAGGGGTGAGAAGTATATATACATCATCAAAGTTCGAAATACCTGTGAGTTACCACGATAAATTTAAAATGAACTCAATCGTTCTACTATGTCTTCTGGTCTCATCTATCCTTGCTGGTGGGTAAAGTGTGAGAACGTATTCAAAATCTTTTTTTTCTGTTAATAATTTCAATCGTTTAAATGTTTATTCTTATTTAGCTCTAGGAACAAGTCTCAAAAGTGTATTAGGGTCAGGAATTGCAGGGGAAATGTTTAAAACATTTTACTTATAATACCAATAAAAACAGTTGATTTAAATGAAATAATAAATACACTCTTTTGCAGTCTCACAAGCCAGCTATAACATAAAGCCAAGGTACAGTGCCTTTAAGTACGCTGCTGCCAGAGTTGTTTCTGGTGGTTGTCCTTACGGATGGCATCAGTACAACAAACGTTGTTACTGGTTCAGCAGGGACCGGTTGACTTGGTATAGAGCTTCTGTAAGTGTACTTTCACGTGCTTTAAAATACATCGTCACTGATTAATGCTTGCAAAAGAGTGTCCCTGCTCAAGCTAAAGTATACCAACATTAGGATAAAATGCTTAAAAATAAACACATTTTAGATGAGATGTGCTGCCATGGGAGGATACCTCGTCTCAATTGACCAGTCCCACGAAAACACATATGTCAGACACATGTTGAGCGTCTATGGATGTAAGTTTTCCTTTATTTTTTGTTTGATATAACCCAGTGAAATCGAAATAAAAGAAACCACAGAGTCTGCCACATCTGTTTCATGTTTGTATGTTTAACTGACAAAAGACGATAAGGAACAACTAACAACTTTTTGCATTACAAGCGAGATGACTTCACATTTTCCTCCGTCAACTTTCCTTATCCTGTGGTAATATCCCGCTATCACCTGCATATGGTGTTTACATCTCCCAACTTATTCGATACACAAGGGCATGCTCTGAGTACGATCAATTTTTAAACCGAGGCAGGCTACTTACAGATAAGTTGATGTTACAGGGATTTCAGCAACCTTGTTCAAAGTCAGCATTTCTTAAATTCCATTTTCTTTATAATGGCCTTGTTAGCAAATATAACCTAACAGTGGGAGGTATTTTGTATTATGTGTTTCATACCAATTGTTAGGCCTCTGTTTTTATACTGAATTTGACTACGGATTGTTCCGTCGACCTCATCAATACATAGGGCTTATGGTGGCTATGACCGGTCGACAGGGGATTCTTACTCCTTCTTGGCACCCTGATCCCAATTCTGGAATTCTGGAAATCTGGGGTCCGTGTTTTATGGCCTGTTCACAGATTTGTATTGTTTTTAGATTTTTTTGAGATCGATCACTGTTCGTTATCTTCATTTCCTTTGATATACAATAGCAATTCCAACTTTAAAATGTGCTAAAAAGCAGCTTAAATCTAAGTTTTAAAATCGAGAAAAAATTATTTCTGAGATCTTCTTTAGACAGAAGAGGAGCATGGCTGGCTTTAAATGATATTCTGCGACCAAACAAACATAGATGGTGCTGGGGATTCATTGCAAAACCATGTCACAAATTTGACTGGTACGGCCAGGAACCAGTTTACCATACTACTGGTGACTATAATTGTGGTGCATTTTGGAGATCATACAAATACCACTGGCATGTTGATAGCTGTCAACAGAAAAACTATTACGTATGCGAGAAATCTTTGGTAAGTAATTTAATGGAGTTTAAGACAGTTGATTAAAAGCAAAAGTATATTTAGCTTAATCAGGATATATTGTGTTGTTCAAATAAAACTAATATTGATACACCTTTAAAACATTTGTTTACTACTATAATTATGTAAATTAACATGATTTTCTAATATATAAATGCCTAATATACACGTTATTTACTGATAAATTAAAGAAGATTTTCATCTACTTTTTGCAGGGAAAACCATGTCGTTGTGCATACTAAATATTTAATAAATAAATTTTGAAGCAAAATGCAAATTATTGTTTTGTCTTTAAATGATTAGTTGGTCATTTGTACAAAACGTATATAAAACTCCCTCTTGTATTTGAGACATTTAAAACTGATTTAATTACGCACTTGAAACATTTCTTTTGATAACCTAATTATACATTATACATTATAATTTTGCAAATTAACAGGATATTTTATAATATCTGTGTTTAACACACATGTTATTTTCTGATAACCCAAAACAAGATTTTAATCCACTTTTTTTCAGGGAAAATCTTGCCATTGTGCCTACTGAATACCGGTATTAAAAAAAAATTTTGAAGCAAAATGCAAACTTTAATTTTGCCGTTTTCATGATAAGATGACTATTTGTACAAAACGTATAAAAAAAATTAAGACTGATTTAAATACGTACTCGAAACATTTCTAATTCAGGTATTACATGTATATTTTATTCATTTTGATTGGTTTGGAAATACTATGTTTCGTGTGGTTTATTTTTTGGGTTCTTCTTGTACATGAATTTATATTGAATTTATAAAATCAATAAATATTGATATATTTGCGAATTCTTTCAAATTAAGACATTCGTCCACGGAATAATATTCCCACGAACTTACAAATTTTACAGAGGCTACCCCAAATTTAAAAAGACTAAATAACCCATTTATTGTAGCAAAAAATTACCTATGTCTGATTAAATTCTTATCTTTAGTTTAAAAGTTAAAAAACAGATTCATTCATTAAAATCTTGAAAATATGTAATGATTTTTACTGTCCAGTCATAGAATACATGGAACAATTTTTTGACGCTAGGTGACTTGACTCCTGATTCCAAACTTGTTAATTTTTTCACAGTTCTTAATATCTTTTTTATAGACTTTTCATGTCTTTTGCTACTTAAAAATTTATTAGTATATAGCAAGACAAGTTTTTTTTAAATCTAAAATTCTTCTGTGGTATTCGGATATTAATGAGATCCTTAAATCAATATCTACGCAGTTAAGCTATCAGGTATGGAATCAATACAAAATCTATAGACGCATTGTCCATGCAATAAGCGGGGCATTGCAGGAGTTGCTCATCAAAATGTCAATCCTGCCATTCTTAGAAAGCTACTATTGTTTGAAAACTTTGGTCCTAGATATGTGAAGGTAATCCCAGCAGCATCTAAAATCATTTTCGGGCATTCTCCTGTCTCCACATATAATTTTTTAAAAGTTTGGTGCTCAAAGTATTGATCACCTACAATTACATGTAGCGATAAAACGGTCATAACCCTTCCAATCAAATTGAATTGTTTGCTAAATGTCGCTTCATGAATATTGTAGCGACAGGTGAAACATAATAAATCTTTAAATGCGCTACAATTGTGCAATTTTCAATTTCACAAAAATGTTTATGTAATGTGAACGTGGAGAAAAGTGACATGCGCTGTGAAGCATGTTTTATCTAAATAAGATAGCTGTAAAAGGTAAAGAAAACGAACAGTGATTGATCTTTAAAAAATCCACAAACAATACAAATATGTGAAGAGAGCATAAAACACGGACCCCTGGAAATGGTAGAGTAGGGATCAGAAGCCTAGGAGGAGTCAGCATCCCCTGTTGACCGGTCACACCCGCCGTAAGCCCTATATATATGTACTGATCAGGTAGACGGAACTATCCGATCGTCGGAAAACATCAAATTTATGCATATTCACTGGAAAATACGTATAGTTTTTTTTATCTGCAAAGTTCTACTGGTTTCATGCAAACAGAGCGCTCACAACAGAATTTGTCAACAAACTTTTCTTCAACCCTCGCATAGAGGCATCAAGTCTTCATAACTCCCAGAACAAGTAATAGATACTGCACCTAATGGAAAATTGACATATTAGGAAAAAAGCAAGAAAACAACAAGATGTGTTTGTGAAACACCCGCCCCCGTATGACAACTTATAGCAAAGGTTAAACTTTCTCAAATGCAAATCAAATATGTTGGTACCCAAAGTTAGGTCTTGCCTCGAGAAATAAACCTGTGAAATATGAAAGCCATAGAAGCAACCATTGAATAGATATGAAAAAGGTTAAAGTTTTTTTCAAAAGTATGTCAAACATCAAGGTCAAGGTCAAATGGTCAAAATTAATGGTGCCCAAGGAAAGGCCTTCTCCCAAGAAATACACAGGTGAAATATGAAAGCCGAAGCACCAAATCGTTCCAAAGTTATGACCAAGGTTAAAGTTTTCCAAAAGTAGGTCAAACTTCAAGGTCAAGGTCAAAGTTCAAAGGTATTGATATCCAAAGAAATGTCTTGTCACAAGGATTACATATGTGAAATATGAAAGCCCTAGCATCAACCATTCAAAAGTTATCGCCAAGGTTAAAGTTTTCCAAAAGAAGGTCAAACTCCTAGGTCAAGGTCAAAAGGTCAAAGGTATTGGTATCCAAAGAAAGTTTTTGTCACAAGGATTACACATGTGAAGTATGAAAGCCCTAGCACCAATTGTTCAAAAGTTATGGCCAAGGATAAGGTTTGGTAAAATTTTGCGAAACTGGGTCAAACTCCAAGGTCAAGGTCAAAAGGTCAAATATTGTAGTACCGAAAGAAAGGTCTTGTCACAAGAAATACACATGTGAAATATAAAAGCCATAGCTATGGGCAAGGTTAAAGTTTTTGCGGACAAACAGACACACAGACAGACAGACGGACGGACAGGGCAAAAACTATATACCCCCGAATCTTCGATACGGGGGCATAAAAACGGAATCAATGACGATAATCAGATATCCTTTCATACGGTAGTATAGCTCATCAGATGATGCTGGACTTCTCCAGTAACATGCATGTTTTGTTTTAGGCACTCTAGGTAGCGATTTCTATGAGAAATCTGGCATAACCATCGAAGTACAAGCATCCAGGAAGACAAACATCGTTAAGTTTTCCATATTTGAAGCCAAAGTGTTCCGTATTACGTCATTTATTTTTGGTATGTTTAAAGCGAAAAATTAATCTTGTAATTGTACACATAAATACACTGAAGTTGATATTAAAAAGATGCTTGAGTTTCTGAATGACAATATATATGTGGTTTTTGGAGACCAGGTCTTTCAACAATCTGTTGGAATTCCCATGGGTACCAATTGCGCCCCGTTGTTAGCATACCTATTTTTGTATTCATATGAAGCAGAATTTATTCAAAATCTTATACTAGAAAAAGAAATTTCTTGCTGTGGCCTTCAACTCGACATTTAGATATATCGACGACGTATTATCAATTAACAATAGTTATTTCCATTCATATCGCAGCACAGTTAAGGCTGCAGTAAGGAGGCGGGGCCTAATTTGTACGGGAAATGCTTACTATGACATCACACAAAAATATAAGTTCTTCAAACTACCACAAAATGAAATGTTTTGCTAATTTAAACTGGTGGATAGCTTTAAACTACATAAATACTAATTATTGCATGTATTTTTGTCGTTGGTTAAACCCCACAAAGCAATATATCAACAATTCACTGATCGCAATGCACTTGTCAATGTGACGTCATATCGTAAAAGTTGACGCAGTTCGTATGCAGTGAGAGGCGGATCAAGTTATATTTTATACAATGAAAAATGTATTTTGTAATTAAATAAAATATTATTTGCAGATATATAAGAGGCCTTTAACTTGGATGCGATGTCTATTTTATGATTTTATTCTTATACTTCCCGTACATTCCCTAGACAAGCGATACTGCCGTATAT